AAAGAATTGAATGAGAGCAATTCCAAACCATTAATTCCTAAAATACAATCTATGGTGTCAAGAATACCTAAACAATGTGATCTGAGTGGGAGAGATCATCTATCATCTAATCCTATAGATTAAAGAAAAAGTTGGTGGTAATGGCTTCACCTGATTGTGATACCAGTATTGGTGGAAAATTCACGATTCTAAATGATGCTATAGTCTAGGATCCATTTGCCCTTAAACAAAGTTAAAGGGTCATCATGCAACCTTTTAGGTATTTGTTGGTCGAAGAGTCCAAATAGACGATCTGCACAGTACAAGTAAATGATCTAACTTCATATATGGAGGTCATGGATGATGTAGATGTAGATTTATGACAACAATCGATAAATGTTGAAATGGAATCCATGTCTTCCAATAAGGTCTAGAATTTGTAGATGCACATGAAGGGAAAAAAACTATTTCCAGATTTTTATATTGACAAGATACTAGTTAGATTTTTCATGCAAGATTTCAAGAATGGTAATTTTCCCTTATGCATCTACACTACGTAGTCTTATGTATGTTATATTGTGCACCACACTTAACATTTGTTATATTATTGATATGGAGAGTCGGTATTAATCTAATCCTGGATCAAATTATTAGGTGGCTTAAAGCATATCCTTAATTACATTCGGATGACAAGGAACTATATGATTGTTTACTCTTCTCCATATCTTGTTCCAGTAAATTATACGAATTTGGACTTTCAGGTTGATAAAGACTATTGTAAGTCAACATCAGATCACTATTTATACTTAATGGTGGGGCTATAATATGGAGAAGTATTAAGAAATCGTGCATTGTTGATTCTACCATGAAGGTTGCGTATGTAGCAGCTTGTGAAGATGATAAATTGGCAATGTGACTCAAGAAATTCCTAAAGAAGTAGAGGTTGTGCATACATCTACACAGCCTTTCACACTGTACTGTAATAACAGTGGAGCAATGGCAATGCTAAAGAACTAAGGAGCCATCAGAGAGGTAAACATATAGAATGAAAATATCATCTTTTGAGACTTGTTGGTTGTGAAGATGAAGTTGTCATTAAAATTACTACTTGGGATAATTGGGCGGATCTATTTAAAAAAGCATGTTTGCTAATGTTTTCAAGGGACATCTGCGGTGCATGGGATTGCAAGACATGATACATAACTCTAGGGAAAGTGGACAAATGTTGTGTTGGGTTGTGTGGTTGTATAGTATGATTTTTTTTTTTTATAATAAAATGAAATTTTTATAGTAAATAATTATTTATTTATATACTGTATTATATTTTATTTAATATTAAGCATGCGAATAAAAGTGCCAAGATATGACACAACTTATATTTTGATCATAAATAAATTATTCACAACCAACATATAAGGATGGCACCTTATATTGGAAGGTTGTAATATTGACTATTTTATTATTCAAATTTGGAATTTGCCCTTATCGCAAGAATAGTTTCATGGTGACATTATTACACTTAAAGTGTATTGAACGGACCAAGTGTTGAATTTAGTTTTTTTGTATGACCTTGCGGATAATTAAATTCCACTTGACCTTTAGATATTTTATCTGAACCCCTGGTTATCGATGAATAGCATTAATTTGATTGAACCACAATTCTTCTTCTATGGAATGGTGATTAATTCAACCAGTAATGTCCATGAGCTTCTTGAATACCCTGTTTGTAACAATTCTATGTATCCTCTACATTTTTTTTTTTTTTTGCGTTCAAATTCACTTGTACAGACTTTACCTTTTAAATTTTATTTGACATATTTATTTTCAAACAGATTTGATAAGAATTTTGTTACGTCAAAGCAATATTTTTTTGTTCAAATTTTATATATTTTGATTTGTAATTTCATTCCGTATTTTAGATTTTTATCATTGTTCATAAATATTGTTGACCTCGAAAAATGGCTCGGACACGTGGCCAACAGAATATGTCTTCAAGTTAAATCCTCCTGCACACGTAGCACGCCGTCAGTCACTCGTGGCCTCTCCTTGGGGGGGGAATGAGCGGCCGCAAGCACTCCGACGGTCAAGTCAGTTTTATATTCGACCAATAAGGGATTCGCCGGCGGTAGAGCACTCGCCGGGGAGGTGGTCGATATAGTGTCGATAAAATTGACAAAAATGAGGGAAAGGATGATACTTGGTTTTTTGCAGTATGTAGGAGAGCAAATGGGATTTTTTCAATCCTTTCTTTGGCACAATGAGGGGATATTTATACTAAGGATGGAAAGAGGAGGGCCATTGGATGAGTGGACACGTGTTGTCAGATCCTCAAGGCTCGTCCCATCCTAGGTGTCACTCTGTCCCTCCATAGGTCGACTGGTATTGAATGTTTCAGCCACAGGCTGCTGATTTGACCGTTTGAGAACCTGCCGCACGTCCCATCNTAATATCTTAGTGATATTTTCTGAGTGTATAGTGTGTATACTAGTAGAGGAAATCTGTATTTGTTAGAGGCAAGAGAAAACTTGAAGAAATCTTCGATCTGTATCTGTATTTGAAGGTTTATTATGTTGTTTGTAGTGATGATGTGTAGGCTGAGGGAGTAAAGCATGCCTTGAAGGCTGAAAAATTGACATGGTAAAGTATAGTTATTATTTTCTACCTAATTTGTCCTACATTTTTATAGGTTTTGTATTTTTGTCCCCCCTTCAAGATAGCAACAATAATATTGTCTAAACGTACGAAATTGACGGAGAAAAAATAGAGGAAAATCGAAATGGGCTATGCTGAGATATTTGATTCAAAATTATAAATTTATTTATTAAATACAAAAATTCTTGCTCTCTCCATAGAAAATTCAGGAAATTTATATTTCTCATATAAATTTAGAGAAATTATTAATTAAGTAAATTTTAATATTTCCAAAAATAGTTTCAGTATTTCAAAAACATCACGCCTATCATTCATCGGATACATAAGATGTGCAACGCACGTGCTTACGACAAAAAAAGGGAGAGGAATTTGAAAAGGCCAAGATATCTTGGATGGCGAATTACCAATTTCCTTATGGAACACCCATATGTACCAAATTTTATGTACATGTAGCATATCCCTATGAAAAACTACCCGAACATAAAAGGCAATAGAAATCTGTTAATCATTTGAATAAAGGGTAAAGCCTGTGATTCACCATATACATCACCCTATACGTGTAGCATAATCCTTGAATAAAAGCTCGAAATTGCTTTAGTTTGAATATACACAGCGTTTACTTCCATATCCCATTAGCATCACCCGTTTGTTTCCCACTTTGCGTGTCGTGGACTTGGTCTCTATTAAAATAATTGGTGAAATTCATTGCCATTGCCTTGTGTACAATACTAGTATTCAAGTTCAGATATGAGGAGGACTTCAAAAGAGAATGCCCAAGGTTCAGCCATATGTACACGAATTGAGATATGTTGGTTTCTTTTAGAGTACTACATTCAATTTTTCAGCAAATGAGAAGAAATCAACAAAATTTTGATATTTCGACTAATATATTGATGTCTTCTCCTTTGCCACAAAGAAGTGATGTGTCAAGATATCAAACTATATTAGAGGGATAGCAGATCTGAACTCCATTGGTTTACACAACGTGTTATCTAATCGTTCTTTTAAAACCCACTCACCAATAAAAAAAACAAAAATTAACCTATGGTTAGCTCACATCGTAAATTGTTTATAAACAATCATTTACTTTTTATTCAGATATTTCAAAAAACTTATTAATACTATTCACTTATCCGTTCCCACCTATTTATAATTTAAATCTTTTATAAATACTTTCCAAACTAGTTTAGATTAAGAAACAATTTTGGGTGGAAAATATCGACATAGAATGTTAAATCAAATTACTTGTTCGATGTGCGTGGTTGGATTCTAAATAGCAATTGGATATATTTGATAAAAAATATTGAACAATATAATAAGTTAAATTTTAACTTCTTTTTCATTCTTAATATTCCAATTATCAGACCAAACAAATCATCAATGTGTTGGCAATTGAAATTGACTAATACACATTTCTTGCCACATATTTAAAGTTAGAGCAATGCTACATTTACACACTTGATTCACGTTCACTTTCACATCCCTCTCACGTTTGGGGTGGGGCCCTCAATTTTAAAAATCGCTGGCCCCACCCCCTATGTGAAAGGGATGTGAAAGTGAATGTGAACCAAGATGTGTATATTTAGCATTATTGTTAAAGTTATCACATAACTATTATGTTGATTAAATTGCTTAAACTTAGTCAAGAAATTATGATCGTAATATTTAATTTTGTCTAATATTTCGATAAGAAAGGGTCAACGGCTAAAAGTACAATACGAGATTGAATCTTCAATAAATCGGAAAAGAGTAGTGCAAAAAAAATACAAAATCATTAAAATCAATCAGTAGCCAATGAAAAACACCAACACCAAACCCGCGATTACATTCACATCCGAGTACAAAGGTATCCTTGCTAAAAGTTACAAAAACCATCAAGAGTCACTCTGTACCCAAAAAAAATCACAAACAAAACTAAAGTATTTTACATGAAAAGGGTCCACGCCAAGTCTATATTTAAGTACAAATCATAAACCATCGATTCAAATTTCCCTAGGTTGCTATTAAAAAGGACCCACTCCCAAGTCTCAATCTTCTCTCCACCACTAACATTAAACAAAATTTGATGGTAGCCCACCAACAATAGCACTTTTTTGATATCAGAGAATGAAGGATTTATTTGTTTTGCAATTTCTAGACGAATTCTATGGCATCTTTTCACCAGTGAAATGTAAGTGACTAAATCTCCAGTGAAGAGAATGGTTTCTTGCGGTGTCTTTTCACCCCCACCAAAATCCACAATTTTTACAGTTGATAGTCCTTTTCACTAAAGTTCTTGACCAATTTTCTTCCTACCTGATGTTTTTTTCTCCCAAAGTAAAAGCTACTATCTTGCTTTTCTTCTTCAAGTTCTTCTCTTTTTGAATTTCTTACATTTGTACCTATATTGAAGGGCAGAAATACATTAAAAGTCGAGAAATATTATAAATGCACAAATTATAACCTAAAGGGAAAAAGTAACAATTAATTATGTCAAAGCGGATTCTAAAATGACAGGAAAAGGCCACAAGAGCGCGAAATCAGATAAAACAATGCCACTACTTCAAACTGATGAGTTCCCGGTTATTTTAAGTAGATTTCAATTCAATTTCACTTAACTTTATTACCTTGTTTCCATAAAATTACAAACTTTTTCAAAGTTTGAGGTTAGTCTTTTCGACCCGACTATCTTCTGAAACTACTCTTCTCTACTGAAGTTTGTCGGGAGAAAATCCACAATAATCAAACGGTACTGTCCAGTCTCAATTTCTAAGGATTAAACATGGCCCTATTGTCCACAGATTGGGAAAAGAAAATCTCTACGAGCAACCGACACATCTATAGACTAACAAATGAACGCAATTTTGTCAAAGAGTCATGGTTCCAAGTCGTAACCAACTTACCTAAAGAATCCGTATCCTGGGCAAGACAACATGGGAGATTTCCTTTCCCCACATCGCCTAATTTTCCATCCCTCACACTTATTAACATAACTACTGGAAACAACCAGCGGTTGTTATAAGCTCTCATATGTCTTAAATCAGTAGAAAATGACAGAACACAGCCCACAGGTACCAAAAAACAGACAATACCAATATTTTCTTGTAATTAGAATCTCGCAAAATGTGAATGTTTTAATAAGATAATGGCAAATGAATTATGCACCAACAATGAGAATAATGAATGGGACCTAGCCGATATTAGCAGGCTAAGTCAGACAACCTAAGATAACTTAGTTAATAATTTAACATAAAGAAAAGTAAGTCAAAGAAGACAACATACCTTTTTCTTTTTCTTTTTTTTGGGAATTTTTAGATTATAATAGGAGATATTTAAGAAGGTTTCGGAGTAGCTTGCTTGAATGCAACAGTAGGAGCTATTCGGCAGCTCCTCTTCTGATGCTCTAACACAAGTTGTTCAGCGAACCAGTCAAGTTTCTGCAAATTGGTCTGCTCTCCAATCCTTTTACCACTGAACAAAACAGATTCTACATTTTTCTGTTTCAGCATTTCATCGCCCATTGCGATGAGCATTTTTACATTGCTGGGGCTACAATCAGAGTCGACATTTGGCCCAAATCCACCCAAACTGGATCCATTTGCCTGTGATTCATAAGTACAATAAACTTATGACAGCCAATTAACATTTGAAGGCTACTGACAAATGAATTTTGTTCAGCGCCAGAAAATAATAGTTTGATCCAAATTTATTTAACGATTCCTATCCAAACAAAGTGGCGAACAGGTGCGTAACACATGAGAATATGCCGAACAGTTAGTGAAAGCAAGGAAAGCAGCGAGAGAGAGTTAGCATGGTCTTTTTCAAGCTAGGTGGAATCTCAATCTTTTATCTATTCGTAGATCGGAAATTGTCTAAATGGTAATAGGCAGAAGTCCTATCATATAAAATAGAACTTAGATTTATTACTAGGTCATTTACAGTAATGGTAAAGAGCTAGATCTAAACATATCAAGATTATGATAGAGACCATACCAGAACATAGGAAATAAATCCCATGATCTTCATATTTAGATGAACTACAATTATGTCAACCCTCTTCTACTTCTAGTCCATTCCACCAAATTTCAATCTGTATCACATCACTATATGTACTCTTGATGTTAACAAGTATATTATTATGGAAACTGCATTTTGGTACATTTTAGTTATTAAGTCAAGTCACATTCTCTTGATGAAACTAGCATAAGATATCCTCATCAAGGGCCAGGATTGATTCATGGCCCAAGAAGATTGTATCAATCTTTGCATAGGACAATGTACTACTACTGCCAGCACTAATTGCTGATACTCCACACCCCCACATATCTCACAGTACCTAACATCAATTTGATGGCAGATTTTAAGGACTACAGTAATATCCCAGGTGAAAATGTCATAAAGGGCAGGATTGCAAGCTGTATATGGGGTGTCTTTTGTTTTAGAATTATGCTTAAGTTTAAATTTCATCATGTACATCTTTTTTTACATTACATTGAAACTCAAAAAGTGTTGAACGAGAAAGTGTGGCTTTTTTTATAAAATTGTCAAATCATGTTTCGACACGTAGCACGATGTCAAAAATAATGTAAAACAAGATGTACAGGTAGCATAATTGTTTTAGCACTGAACGAACAACTTTATTAAAAATTATCCTTGCAACTGTATGTTAGAGAAATGAAATTACAATAGATCCAACTCCTATCTCCTAAACTTTAATTAGCAAAACCTACCTCGCAAAGCAGTTCTATAATATCCGAAATAATCAAAGCATTAGCTGACCATTACAACATTTAAAGAGCGGTAAGGTAGAGAATGTGATTGAATTATTAATAATAGCAGCGTTCGGTGTAATTTAAAAAAAATACTGCAGGAGTTTATGTAATTCTTGAAGAATTAACCTATCCTACAAGGGTGAAAAACAGCTGTATGTATTGAGAACATAACACGGAGTCTGGTATGGGTAGACTGTGTCAATGTCAAACAGTCCATTTTAGGTTGGCATTTTGGCTTCTCCTTTACTAATCTTCACACTTTCCTACAATAAATTGCATACCCCCAAAATACCCAACTAGGCACAGTAGCCCCCAACCCGTTTCTTCCTTTATTTTAAAACTTGCTTTGTATAAGTAAACTTTTTAAACTTTAGCTAAACATGTGAAAGTACCTGAATACGGACATAATTACTGCTCCGGTTCTGGCCGAAAGCCATAGAGACCGCATGGTCAACCAACTCGGCCGAGCTGTCGCCAGAAATCTTAGCCAGAGGTCGAGCCCAATCCTCTGCCTTCCATTTCTTGACTTGCTCAAACTCGAAACTGTGCTCTAACAGCTGGCCACCCGTGCCTATTGAGAGTACCAAGACGTCCTCGACTCCTCTAACGAATGGGAACTCCTGCTTGTTATGCAACACGTGCGTAATAGCCACCCCGGTCGGATTATTCATGGCCAGTCCCCCGTCAACCCCGACGCAACGGTTCAATCCGTCAACCGACTTCATGCAAACCGGGTCGAAAAGGCCAGGTTCAGCCGACGTAGCCAAGCACACCTCCCATATCTTAAAATTGTAGCTGTCCGTTTCTAAAGCGTCAACTCGGGAGAACAAAAACGGCGCCGTAGTGGAGAGGTCATAGCACGGAATCAGTACTGGTTTTAGCGTGTCCTTCAACGTTAAACTCCGCCCGGTTTTCTCATCCATAAACGCCTCCTTCATCGCCTTCTCTAAGCCCGCCGTCGATGAACCGGTGGCGGAATTTCCTCCACCGCCGGTTTTGTTAAATACTCTCTTGAAGAAATTAGGCTTGGACTTGCATGAACGGTAGAATTTTTTCCCTTCTGCTGCGAGAAACTTCCACGTGTCGTCAGCGTTAAAAATCGGCCTGTTCTGATCTTTAGTTGCGAAGAGCATCGCCGTGAAAATTCCTCCGATGCCGGTTCCCGCGGCGACGTCGAAATAATCCGATATTCTGGCTTCCGGATTTCCAGACTTATTCTTCAACGCTGTTTCCAAATACGACAGCGCTTTACCCGAAATTATGCTGCGCATTCCACCACCGTCGATGCTCAGAATGCAGATTTTCCCTCTCTGATATTTCATTGCCTGAACATCGTCGCCGTCGTTCACAACGACATCGTTTTTAGACTGCTCAATGAGCGGTGAGATTTGCTTTGGAATCCAAAGCTTTTGATCATCATAACCAAACAAAAACTTGCTTTCCAAAATCGAAAAAATCTCGTAGCTCAATTTATCTCTATCGACACTGGGCTCTTGCATTTCTTCTATAAGATTGTTACAGTTAATTCTATCCAAACAAGCCATTTCACAAGAATTCTCTATTCAAACTATCATCAATTAATGTATGCAAATCTCTCTATCTCTCCCTGTGTATACGTGTGCGCGTATGTGAGGCAATAAACTGGATGATGAGTCTTAAATGGAAGAACAAGTGGGCTTATATATTTTGGATTGTGCTGGCCAGGGGCTATGAAAGACGGTCTCCCAAACAAAAGGCAAACGAAGTAAACCGGAGAATTTTGGTCCGGGTCGGTTGATAAACTAAAAAAATAAATAAAAATCTCGAAATACTTAATTAAAAATGAAATATAACCATTATCAAAACAGGAGGATGGGTTGTTTTATGGGTTATTAGCACAAAACGTTTATATATTTGGCGTTCAGTGTGTAAAACGTTCATACGTTTCAATCTTTTACATTTTCATCTTTATTTCTACGTTTCATTGTGATTTCACATCATTTTTCATCATTTTTCATTCATTTTCTCAATAAAAAATTGTAAAATGACAAATATACCCTCCTATTAAAATAAAATAAAATAAAGAATAAATTGCAATCATACTTTCAAGTTTTTCAATAAAATATAAATAAATCCCAAAACAAAAATCAAAAAATCAAAAATAAAAAAACAAAAAATCATCCCCTTTCTCTTCCACTACGACTTTCACTCAACGAAAACACTATTCAACTGCCACCTTAGCCATCGGAAACCACCAACATACAACCCTCTATCCCGTAGTCACAACGCACCAATTTGCTCGCCCAAACCCGATCAGACCTGACTACAATTGGTAGCCAAAACCTCCAACTCACAAATGCTAAACTCGACGGCACCAGAACTTTCACTGTCTGGCCTACCACCAACAGGTTCCCCTCATCAAGACGACCTAAACCATGGTCAAACATCAACCAAAACATCCTCCAATTGATATGTTGTGCCTCAAAATTCTTTTGCAATCGCAAAGAATCAAATCTACCTCCTTCAATTCTCGTCGCCCAAAGCACTGGTGATCCAAATTGGTCTTAGTTGAACCTCCCACAACCCCAATCGACAATGATTAATGATCTAGTTGTTCCAATTATCCTCCCAAATGATTCAATTTTTCGATCAAAACAACCACAAACTATGTGCATAGCGAAGAATATTTTCACAAAATTGATGGGTTCCATGTGTTACAATCATCCAATTCACCTGGGGAATTCAAATTGAGACACAAACATCCATGGATAAACTACCAATTGCATCAATTACACAACCAATTATTCAATTTCAGCTATGAGTTACTACGTGTGGGTGCCAAACTTGAGATTCGAATTCTAAGCTTGAAGGTTGTGACTGATGTGGTAACTGGAATGTTTTTGTTGAATGAACAGTATGCAATGGTTCATTGAAAATTACAAAGACAATGGCGATAGATTGAAAGAAAGGATTGTGTGGACTATTATTTGGCGTGGTTAGCGGTTGGTTGGGGTTCGACCGACGAGTTGAATAGTGGGGTTGTACAATACGCACCAACTTCACACCTAACACAGCTGATTAATGGTTTCATGGCGGCGAAGGCGATGGTGATGTGGTAGTGGAAGAGGAAAGAGGAAAGAAAGTGATTTTTGTTTTTTAATTTTGATTTTTTAATTATTTATTTGGGATATTCATATTTTATTGAAAATTTTGGGAGTATGGTTGCAACTTATCTTTATTTTTCTTTTCTTTTCTTTTTCATTTTGTTTTATTTAAATATGAGGGTATATTTGTCATTTCACAATTTTTTATTGAAATAATAAATGAAAATTGATGAAAATGACGATTTCCATAATAAAATGTGGAAATAGAAATGAAAATGCAAAAAATTGAAACGTAGGAACCTTTTGCACACCGAATGCCAAAATTCGGGACATTTTGTTCTAATAACCCATTGTTTTATTAAAAATATGTTTGGAAAATGATTAATAGCAGAAAACCTCCATAGAAACGTTTCCATTTGCGATATATCCCCCCATCTATTGGAAATCACAGAAAACACCCATATTTGAAACATTTTGTGCGAAAAACTTCTTATTGTCAAACTTCCCATTAAAAACAGTAAAAATATCAAAATTAAAAGTAATAATTGCAATTTTAGTATCCAAATTTTTTATTCTTTTACAAATTATACTCAAATTTTTTTTATGTACCACCTACAATCTCAAACATTTTCTTCTCCAAAATTTTATTATTTTATTTAGGGTGTGTTTGAATCTAATTTTGAGGAGAATAGAAATTTTGGAATAGTGATTGATGTGTGAATGTGTGGTGATCATATGCACTCAAATAAGTGCAATTTACCTATTTTATATTGAAATTAAAATAAATTTAGAATACACACACAATGGATGAACGCATATCTAAAAGTGGTGAGAGAAAAATAATACTGACTGTCACCCATTGATTTCTAAATTAAACTTTAACTAAACTCTTGTAGAATGAATTGAAAAAAAAAAAGACAAAAATATATACAGTATAACTATTTCTATATTCAGTAAAAAAAATAAAAATATTCAGGCTAAATAATATCTCTATAATAAACTTCAAATTGGTAGTCAAAAGTACCTTTTTTAGCTCATAAATCCCTCATCCCAAAGATCGTTATTTGGAATGAGAAGAAGAAATGATGAATTTGGGGTGAGGGATTTAGGAGGGTTTCAAAAAGGAATAAATAAAATGATGAAGTTTTGAGGAAGAAATAAAGTGGGGTGTAGTGGAAAATAAAGTTTTAAAGGTTTGGATTGTGGTGGTACAAAAAAAAAAGGGCATAATTTGTTAAAAAAAATTTTGGGTACTAAAATTGCAATTATTACTTTTTAGTTTTGACATTTTTACTGTTTCTAACGACAAATTAGACGATAGGGGGTTTTCACACAAAAAGTTTTAAATAGGGGGTTTTCTGCGATTTTCGATAGGTATGGGATAAGGTATAAGGCAAATGAAAATGTTTCTAGAGGATTTTCTGGTATTAATCATTTGGAAAATGTTTATAAACAATTTAAATTATTAAATAGAAAGTATTAAACAATTTATGATAAATTATAAATAGAAATAGAAAGTAACGAATGATAAATTGGTGGAACTCATTAAAATGCATAAATAAAAATTAACTCGACCACAAGCCAAATATGTATTGAGGGCCGTTTGGTATGACTTTTGAAAAGTGAAAAGGAACTTTTGAGATTTAAAAGTTACTTTTGGATCTGTTTGACTAATTTTATGAAAAGTACTTCTGGACTCCGTTTGTTTCTCATTTTTCATCCATAAAATGAAAAATATGACCGTTATCCATCATATCAAACTATCAATTTTGAATTTCTATCTTTTGTGTGAGGCCCAATAACGATTATATTTTTCATTATCGTTCTACAATAATGAGAATCAAACAAGTCCCTGGTAATTAAAATAACTTTTAGAAGAAGTTAATTAAATGCGACTTTCTTTAAACGTACTTTCGGAATAGAAAGTGCTTTTAAAAATTAATTTTCAAATAAAAATTAAGATAACTTCCTTTAAAATCTCTTTTTGCGAAAGGTAAAAGTCATGTCAAATTGGTCCTAAGAATTGTCAAAATAGAAACATAGGTTACATGAACAAAGAGGAACTTTATCATACAAACATAAATGTAAATTATGTAATTTTCGTTGTTTCATTATCGTGTATATATATTCTTTGTTTTGTGAAAATTAAAAACAGAATTTTAGTAAATTTTGAATAAAAAATGATGAAATGTATTATTGAAAAATTGTGTTGAAAAATTGTACTATCACATATGGACATTATAAATTCATACAAATGATTATTGAAACAAAATTCAATTAGTAGTTGGAACTAATTAGATTCGATTAAAAAAGTCCAGACGGGGTTTGGCGGGAGGCGTGGGGGGCATGTATGTTGGCGCCAAACGTCCAACAAAATCAGATTTTTTAGATAGTAAAATTTTTTAACCAGCGAGTTAAAATTGATTTAACTGTATATATTGCATGATGACGTTGTCTTATCAGGTCCGTTGATTGATTAGGGAATTTTTCCACTCCGTGATGTGTGGGGTGTAATTAGGTAAGACGTGTGGGCTCCACAAATGCGCAATCGTCGGCTACAATATGGTGACGCACTAATTACCTGTTATGTTCAACCCCGTTTGACCACTATTATTTTCAGTTTTTTTTCTACACTCATTTTCTATCACATTTACACAATAAAATATTTTACACATAAATTCAATTTTTTTAACTTTTTAACTAGATTCATTTATGACCCTATTTGATGACTATTATATTGAGAAAATGAAGTATTTAAAAGCAATTTTTTAAAGAACGTGTTGCTAAAAAATATTAAAAAGTTTTAGATTTAAGTGAAAAATATTTTATTATATAAATACGTTATTAAAAATAAGTATAAAAATTAAAGAGTTTTGAAGTAAAGGATAATTGCAGCAAAAGCCGGTTGGTAAATTTTGTGATCGTCTGTTTCCTCAAATTTTTGATTCGTTGCAGCTGTCACCCCATAACATATCCAAACGTTGCAAGTGAAGCCCTTCTAGACAATTTACATTCACAATTCTGTTAGTTGGCCAAAAATTTAACTTTGACCACATTTTTAATATTTTAAAAATGGGTAAAAGAGTAACTTTATATTTTTATTACATTAAATAATTAAAATAATTAAATATAAATAATAAGAAATAATAATTTAAAAAAAAACACACAATCGTCTTTTTCCTCTCACTGCCCACCCCTTCTCCCACTTCAAATCCAAAATCAGTCACCCGACTACTGTCACCTCCACCAATTAAAAACTGAAAAAAAGCTTCTATATACAAGTTCGATTAAGTTGCAGGAAAGATAAATGTTATAACATGCGAAGAGACACATTCATATACACACGATCAGCATCTATAATGTATAAGATGTAGGTAGAGAGACCTTGACAGCGATTTCAACTGCTTGACCGACTAGCCAAGCTCGGACTACCACGTGCCGAAGCTGACTGAAGGAATTTT